ACATGCAGGCAAAACCCAATTGCATGCAGACAAGCCCCACATGAAATCCAAGAAAATTACCATAAATAGTTCTTCGCACTTAATAAGGGGGAAGAGGAGAAAAAGAGATTAGGGGAGGAGAATAAAGAGAGATCAGGGGAATGGAGAGAGAGAGAGAGAGAGAGGAAAAAATACACTAAGAGATTGAGATAGAAAAGGAGAGCATTCACTATCACATGACTAACCTCTACATCACCACTGATGATTCCAAACTCAAACCACATAGGGTGGTAGTTCATCTTATAAGCTCCACTCATCTCTGACCACCTAGTGATTGATCCTTGATCGCCTCTAATCCTACTCCTACTTGTCTATCGAGGCATACTCTTAACAACAAGCTCAACCTTCATCTCTAAGCCACAAGTGGCATAGTTCAATCTCATTAAGACCATTCAAAGAAAGATGTTATTTTGCCCATATGGTCCATAGAAAGGGCATCTAGTTTCTAGTAGCACAGCCTCCCAAAATCTCCAGTGAAACTAAAAGACATGGTAACATTCTTTGTTTTGTTATTTTCCTCCAAAGAGATCAGTAGAAGGAAATGACTATCCTATCATCTTGAACCCTTTTGTGAATCTTTTTGATTGAAAACAAGGAACAACAATGGATCTTAACTATTTGTATAACATGACCCAATCAGTTACAACCCTCGGGACCTTCACATAGAAGCAGTGGTCCACTTATTCTATGAAATGAATATCTAGATATATTCTTTTATCAAGATTGAGAAGTGTAATCCCATATGATCCTTAAGGTTTTGCAAGACTCCATTAAATCTTAAATATCACATAACTACACTAGTTTTTTTTACCACGTCCATAGATTATTTCCACAATATCTTTCTGTTGGCCATAATATAGTACATCAGCTTCAATTGGGTTCTAATCTCTAGTGTTTGAAGACATTCTTGAGCAAAATAACTTATGACCCCACTATTTTGTGTTACCTTCTTATCATCGACCAGTATTGTTTTAAATTTGTACCTATTAATGAGATGTTCACGGTAACGTCTCACTTCATAATATGGATGTTGAGCGTGAATTAAACTTTCTTCAGATACTGAGGTACCTAGGACAAATTAGGGTTAATTTGTGAAAATTGTTGAATTAGGGTTAGGAATAAGAATATTAGGGCTAAATGTAGTTCAGTTAGGTTTATTATGGTTTACAATTATGGTTAGAGCAAGCAAAATATTTATTTAATGTTAGGATTAAGAGTGCACAAGGAAAATATAGTTTAATAGGGTTATTTGGGTGATTTAAACAAAATTTAACAATAAACTTAAAAACTACAAAAAAATGAAAATTTTCACAAACACGCATCTTAAATGAGGGAGAGGAGAAGATAGGGCATCGGCGGAATTAGGTGTCATTAGGGTTACGACAAAGGTCCGGCGATGTCATTGGAGCTATAGCATCAGATCACTATCGAGGATGATGTTGAGAAAGGGTGTAAGAGATATGTCGAGAAAGGTCGAACCGGTCAAAAATTAAGGGTGAACAATATCATCGGAGAGATAGGTTAACAGTGTAGTCGACGAAGGAGGGCTGGAGCAGAGTTAGGCAGTAGCTCATCTAGCGACATCATTGAACAATGGCTTGGTGGCGGATAAAATTTTCCAGAAAGAGTAGTGGATAAATTTTTTCTAGAGAGAGCAATGGGTTAAGCTAGGATTTTCTCTTAGTAACATCTTTTTTTCTATTTTCATGTGGGTCCCACTATCCTAAACAAAACTTATCTAGGATGTGTCCTAGATAAAGTTTAACTTCTAAGATAGTGGGACACATGCTAAAAAATTATTATATTAACCATCTAGAATGGTCTTCCTAAACGGATTTTCATCTCGGATGTTCACCATCCTAGAAATTTTTTATGTAGATGCAGCATCCTAGACGGAATGGAACGTTCCATCTAGAATGCGATGTTTCTTTACTAGTGTATAATGATTTGTAAAATAGTTATAAAATTTTCTATAATTATTTTTAGGAAAAAATAGCCTTAGCCAATTATGAATAAAGAGAACAAGAAGAATACATATGGTTACACTGTAGAAATTTGATACTGAGAGATATACAGGAACTCACAAAATCAAACTTTTCTATCAAAAGGTATCATTCAAAATTCTATAAGCTTTGATTAAATTTTAGACGTTTCTTGCTATGCCAATGGTTAATCCATTGAATATGCATTGATTCTGCTCCTCTAAAATGGACCGAAAGGTCATCACCACTGCTTATTGTTAAGGTTGATATTAGAGGTCCTCTAGTTATGCCAAAAATGTTGAGCTTATTAATATGTGAGTATAAGTTCATATTGGATAGAATAAGAAAGAATGAAGAGTATAAAATTGAACTGGGGCCAAAACCAAGTAACTATAGCTTCTTCTTTAAAATTAGTCCCTAGTTAAAATTTGACTAAATGTTAGATCATGTTTAAAAACTGGGTTTGGTCTTGCAACCTGTACCATAGTCTCTACCCGCTAGTCAACTACTCTTTTCCTTTTTTTCATCCTTTAATCTTTTCAAATCGACTGGTATTTGGTTGATATAAAACTCTAAAGATGGGAATAAATGTTTCATTTTGTTCTTGTTATTTTTCTTTTCCAAGTCAGTGTCATTGTTAAGTATTTATATGAATAGCACGGACCTTTTTGCTCTTTTCTTTTGGAAAAACAAAGTCTCCAGTCACCCTTAGATTAGTGTCTTTCGGTATCTTTTTTTGTTGGACTTCGAGATCATCATTGAGCCTAGGAATCAGACTCTGCCCAAGGAGTAGGTGGGACAGGCGATTGCCTAGGGCCCCCCAAAAACAGGGGCCCCATCCTCTTCCTCAGTTCCTCCTGCCGCTCTTATTGACTTGTGTATTTTTTTTATCAAAGTTATTGACTTGTGTATTAAACTTCACAAAATGTCAAAAAGGTTCTTATTGACTTGTGTATGTATTTAAACTTCTCTTCAATTGCAGACAGACTCGGCCCAAGATAATTCTAATAGCATAAAGGTTCTATAAATTCACAAAATGTCAAAACTCTACCATCCTCTTCCTCACTTCCTCCTGCCACTCTCCCTCAGACCCTCTCACGTAAAAAAATGGTAGGTCTCTCTCTCTCTCTAACCTCAAATGGTGGATTTTGATGTGATTTAATCAATTCTTAAATATTTTTGGGTATGGAAAAGAGGGATTTTATTAGAAGTGAGGACTAAGGAGAGATTAATGGGATTTTGGTAATTTTGTTTTGTTCTTTTTATTTGTCGTTTCTGTTTCCTTGATGGGTTTTTTTGGAGAAAGGTGGCATCTTTATGGATTTTTACTCTGCAGCCCAAAATACGCCCGCATCTTGTTTGATCTTTTGCCTAAGAGAGCAACTCACACGTACAATCACCTCTTAAAAGCCCTCTTGGATATAAAACAGTACTAAGCAGTGTTTTGGTTCTACTCTTCTCTGTTATCCCATGAATGAGTATCGCTGGATTAATGGATTATGTAACCATCAGCATTGTTATTAAGGCTAGTGTGGCTTTGAAAGTTATGCATGCCCACGTTTTAGTTTGTGGGTCTGAGTTAGATTTGAGATTGGATACTGATTTGTTGTAGTTTTACTTGAAATGTGGATGCCTAGATTATGCCCACAGCGTGTTTGAGTTAACGCCAAAAAGGGATGATTTTTCTCGGGCTGCTATCATTTTTAGTTGATGGGTTTATAGTTAGTTTAAAAGCATTTATTACTCTAAAATCTCTTCTTTTTACTGAAATATTATCTGATTTATTTGCAATACCATCCGGATGTGTGTAAGCATGTTGATCTGAAATTTGTTTGAAGTGAAACTATTAAAATTTCAAGGTAATTTTATAACTTTATAAATTATAATTTTTGTTGATCTTATGTATTTTAGTATTTCTATATAATTTTTTGTTGATCTGAAATTTGCATTGTTGATTGATCATATTTTTTTAGCGTTCATCATGCTTCCTAGAAAGTATAGTTCTGGATATGAGAAAAGAAAAAAGAAACAAAAAATGGAAAATTTGGAAAAGTATCAAGCAGGAGCGCTGGATAAGGTTTTTAGTAGTAGACGTACAGAGCATGATAACGAAGAATATAATAATGAAGAAAATCAAAATGAAGAACATAAAAATGATATGAATATTGAAGAACCTACTGAACACAATATGAATATTGAAGAACCTGCAGAAGATGATAGAAACATTAAAGAACCTACTCAACTTAGGATTGAGAATATTAATGAAAACATGAATGTTGACGATCCAGCAAATTGGAGCAATATTGATAAAAAAAAAAATTGAGAGATCTTTTAGTAGAAAGAGGACCCAAAAGAGTTGTTATTAATTTTCCTAAAGATATTAAAGGCAGACATTTCTCTTCTGCTCATTACACTTGACAATGATTAAATGGAGAGAAACATGATAGGAGATGGCTAATATATTCAACTTCTTTGAATGTGGTATTTTGCTTTTGTTGCAAATTATTTAGAAAAGATGGAAACAAGAATCAAATGGGTTCTTTGGTTAATGAAGGATTTAAAAATTAGAAGAATCTTAGTCATAGACTTCAAAGTCATGAAGGGAGTAGTGAGCACATAAGTTGCATGAGAAGTTGGATAGAATTAGAAATAAGATTGCGTAGTATTGAAACTATTGATAAAAGTGTGCAAGAAATATTAAACAAAGAGAGAGAACATTGGAGACAAGTATTATTAAGAATAGTTGTTGTTGTAAAAACACTTGCTAAAAATGGTTTAGCATTTCACGGGGATAATGAGAAAATTTATCAAGAGAACAATGGAAATTTTTTAAGTTTAATTGAAATGATTGCTGAATTTGATCCGGTAATGAAAGAGCATATTCAATGTTATCAAAAAGGTGAATCTCATAAGAATTATCTCGGTTATAAAATTCAAAATGAACTGATAGGATTGTTAGTGGGAGAGATTAAACATACAATGATCAAAATAATCAAAGAAGCAAAATATTTTTCTGTTATACTAGATTGTACTCCAGATATAAGCCATGAAGAACAAATGACTCTTATAATAAGATGTGTGGATGTTTCAGAAAGTCCAGTAAAGGTAGAAGAGTTCTTTCTAGAATTTCTTAAGGTCGACGACACGTCAAGACTGGGACTTTTCAACGAACTTGAAGATGTATTGAAGATTCTGGAACTTGACATTTCTAATGTAAGAGGACAAGGGTATGAGAATGGATCTAATATGAAAGGAAAAAATAAAGGTGTGCAGAAAAGACTCCTCGAAGTAAATCCTAGAGCATTCTACACTCCATGTGGTTGCCATAGTCTTAACCTCGCACTTTGTGATATGGAAAACTCTTGTTCGAAAGTTATATCTTTTTTTGGAGTGATACAACGTTTATATACTTTGTTTTCATCTTCTACTAAGCGGTGGGATATTTTCAAAGAACATGTTTCTGGTCTCACACTTAAGTCATTGTCACAAACACGGTGGGAAAGTCATGTTGAAAGTGTAAGATCAGTAAGATTTCAAGCTACAGAAATAAGAGATGCTTTAATTCACTTGGTAAGTATAGATGGAGATCCAAAAATAAAGAGTGAAGCTGAGTCCTTAGTAACAAATGAAATGGAGAATTTTAAGTTCTTATTGGGTATGATTATTTGGCACAATTTATTATTTGCTGTTAATTTTGTTAGCAAATTTTTGCAAAAGGAAGACATGCAAATCGATATTGCTATAGATCAATTGAATGGACTTATATTATTTTTTGAAAAGTACAGAGAAAATGGATTTAAGGAGGCCATTACTGAAGCTAAAAAGGTTGCATCTGAAATGAAAATTGAGGTTGTATTTTGTGAAAAACGTATCATTCGAAGGAAGAGGCAATTTGATGAAAGTGCTACCGAAGAGACAATATTATCTCCTGAAGAATCATTTAGAGTTAAATACTTTCTATATATAGTGGATCAAGCTATTTCTTCTCTTAAGAGTAGGTTTGAACAATTTCAGCATTATGAAGAAGTCTTTGGGTTTTTATTTGATTTGAAGAAATTCAGCATTGTTGATGATGCTAGTTTGAAGGCTTATTGTGCGAAACTTGAAGAATCTTTAAAGCATGATAGTCATTTTGATATTGATGGTGAAGATTTATTTTTAGAGTTAAAACTTTTGAGAGAATACTTACCAAAAGAAACAAAAAAAGCAATTGACGTGCTGAATTATTTGAAGAAATTGGATGGTACTTTTCCGAATGCTTGGATTGCTTACAGAATATTGTTGACCATACCTGTTACTGTTGCATCTGCAGAAAGAAGCTTTTCAAAGTTAAAATTGATCAAATCTTACCTTCGATCAACTATGTCACAAGAAAGATTGAATGGCTTAGCTATATTGTCAATTGAGAAAAATAAAGTGGAGAAGCTTGATTATACAAGTTTAATTAATGATTTTGCATCTAAAAATGCAAGAAGAGGCTTCATAAAGTGATACTTCTATTGGTTCATTGATCTTGTTTTGGGAATGAGAGTGTTAGGGTGTGATTGATTTTGCATCTAAAAATGCAAGAAGAGGCTTCATAAAGTGATACTTCCATTGGTTCATTGATCTTATTTTGGGAATGAGAGTGTTAGGGTGTGATTTTAGTATTTTTGTTCAAGTTTTTGCCTAGGGCCCCCGAATGCTCAGGACCGGTCCTGGGCGGGTGGATCCTGAATCTCCTTTGTGTGAGCTCCCATCTCGATCAGTGACGCGATCTCCTTCAACAACCGCTGAAGTCGCAGTTGCAGAGTCGTTGAACGTCATAACAGTCATTGAATGTTGTCGATCGACACACTGCTCTGATACTAGTGATCGAACACAGAGAAGAAGAAAGAGGATTGCTTTGAGGGGGCTCCGGTAATGGGTAAGGAGTTTGATTTTTTTTTTCTTCGTTGTATTTCCTTAAGGAGATTGATCCTCCTTTAATAAGGGCTAAACCCACTATCTTCACCCTCCTCAGATCTGCCCCATGAGAGATTTCCTCTCAACAAACCCACGTTTCCACGTTTTTCTCAACAGAGAAACAAACATTGATTTGGTCATTGAAGACCGATTCAAGGTAACGACAATCTCTGAAAAATCATTAAAAACACAAAAAACATGCTAAATTTTGAAAATATTAAAAAACACTCTAAAATCTAAAAATTTTGATTCACCCCTTGCATAATCTGAAATCACAAAACCCTCCAAAAAAGTTTGAAAATTAGGAAAATACATGTAAAAATATTAAAAATTACAATTGAAAAAAATGAGAATTTCAAACAACTACATATAAATAAAAAATTACAAACAACCTCCTAGAAAAATAAAGTAAATACCAAACAATCACCTTAAATTCTGCAATTACAAAAATAACTTTGGAGTTGAAAATTTGTATAATTGCAATTCTAAGAATTCTCAAACAATGGATTGGAATTAATTACAAAACATCAGATTCTAACAATTCCTTGAATCCAAACATAAACTTAGGGTAATTTCAAAAACAAAAAGCTAATTGACATTTAAAGATTTTTGCACAAGACCGCTCCAAACTTCATTCTCTTTGAAAGAAGGATGACAAATGCTACAAGATTCCAACGGGATGATTTTTTGGGTGAATCATATGTCTACATTATCTCTTTGAGATTACAAATTCTTATGAAATTACTCTCATTGCATAAAACTATGTATGCACTTGCTTTTTTTGGGGGGGCACTGCTTTGTATTTGACAGACAGGATTTTGCTTCGAGGAAACAATATCTCTCAAAGTTTGAAAAATTCCCTAGAGAGGTCAAGGCTTTGATATCTTATGTTTTTTTAGGGTACATGTTCACTTTTGTAGAATATTGTTGTTGTCGTTTGGCGTAAAGAGTGTGATATAGCAGTTTTGTGGGAAGTTAGGTTTTTGGTTAGAAGTATTTTACTCATATTAAAAATCATATTAGTTTTGTCATCAATAATTAGTAACATATTGATATATAATTTTTATTATTCTTAAACTGATGTTTTAGATCATGTAACTAATCTTCTTCGATGGTCTCATGTGAATTTTATCAAGTATGAATTTAATATGGATTTTCGATCAAAGTATAAATTTAATATGTAACTAATCTTCTTTTGTTTGTCTCATGTGAATTTTGTCAAGTATGAACTTAATTTGGATTTCCGATCAAAGTATGAATTTAATATGTAACTAAACTTCTTTTGTTGCACTCATGTGAATTTTGTCAAGTATGAATTTAATATGCATTTGCTATATAGCATAAAATTTATCTGATATGTTTATTAGATTGAAGTTCTAAATTATAAGTAAGAATTTTTTATATGTCTTTTAGATTAAAGTTCTAAAATTTGTAACGTGTAACTAAATTCAATGCATTATCAAGTTTGATATCAGTCTACAAAATGTTATATTCATCTTATCATCATCAAGTAGAGGTTTAAAATATGATCTTATTTCATGCAATAAATTATTTTCTAACCATGAACTAATTCATAAACGAGTTATAATAAAGACATCAATATGTTTCTCAAGAAAAAAATGAAATAATTAAATTATTTGATCTCGTGCAATGCATGTGCATCCCACCTAGTATGTATAAATAGTCTGCATAATGAATATGGGGCCTAGAAATGAGCTAAGGAATTCAAACACATAAGTGAAAGCCATATCTAAAGAGTAACAAGGATTAGCATATCACTACATCAACATGGTTTCTGTCGGTACATCTTGACTTATATCAAAACCATACACTTTAGATCATCAACATGCAAAGATAACTAACAACACGAATATGTGTTAAATCACAAAACCAACTAAGAATACGAGAGTCATCGTAAAAACACGCATAGATGCCGATTTCAGAAGGAAGAAAAAGGTCATGAGCACATCCATATATTCACCCATGCATGAACAACCACTCATGCACATGCACACACAAATAATATAAGTAGTTTCAACAATATTGGTTTCCAAAAAAAATTACCATCTCATTTTATTATAAGCATGTTATGCGTCCCTTCATTTACAATTCCTAATATTTAAGCAAAATGAATTTCTCCAATGATATCTGCAGCTGATATTACTCTTCCAAATGTTTAAAAGATAAAAAATTGGACACAAAGAATAGCATAACATAATCCAGCAAGCTCAAGAAGAAAATTATAAGAGTCATTCAATGAAGCAATAGAAAATTTTACAATCCCATATAAAATCCAAAGCACTCGTTAAGGATTCAACAAACCAAAGAACTCATTAAGGATTCAACAAACCAAAGTCTTCACAAGCTCCAAACACACACTTTCCATAATACTAAGTTAGCGTAGTACTACTTTTTATTTCATAGCAAGGTAACAAGACAAGCTCATTTTTCCCTCGCAGTTTAACTCCGAGAACCCTTTCCAGTTTGACGATGATCTGCTGATTTGGGATGGCTTTTCCTGACTCATACTCTTGGATTATCTGGGGTTTTTCATTGATCAACTGATACAAAAATAATGTCTGTTAGCATAAATTTAGTAGCCAAAAATCAGACAATATGGGAAGAGAGAAAAGTACATGTGCGAGCTGGGCCTGGGCATACTTTTTGTTCATTAGTGCTTGCATAACGTTTTTCTTCAACTCACTTAGCACTCGTTCATCTTGTTGAACATTAAATTCAAACGTCAGGAAAAAAATATAGAGATATTTATTAGCTATCTAAAATTAGTAGTGACAATAGGATAACAGAGAAAGATGCAAGTAAAGGATTTTCAAACATCTATATTCCTATTATTGAAAAAAAAAATAACCAACAAAACTAATACATGCACAACCTGTTCTCTATTACTAAATCTCAGCATACACAAGACGCACACAAAAGATGCACAAATACAACTTAAAAGACAACCAGAAACAAACAATTATAAAAAGGGGAAATAAAAAAAATGCAAGACAAGAATGAACCCCTTTCTCTTCCTGGCATTTTCATCTTTTCTTTTTTCTGAAAACTTCTATCTAACACACTTCATGCGTGTGTACATCCAACTATTTCTTGGATTCTTAGGTTTCAAACTTCATTGTGCATGCATATGCAAGAACACACCGTGATAGCAGTAATGCAATACCATGTTGAGTAGCTTTAGGCAAAACGGAAAGGAAATACATAGCAAAGGACTGCTTTTCATTCAACAATCAACCTTTTAGATGATCAATATCTGTCAATGAGATCCTTTCCAATCAATATCCCAATAACTACAAAATTTTGAAGCCAAATGATGACATAGAGAAATGTTACATGCATATCTTAAGGTTTGTCTCCTGACACCCAATACTTTCAAGTTAAATATTAACAGGTCAGCATGCAAAGTCCTGCATCTGCTTAAATCTCCCATGTTATATGGTATCCCATATTATTCACAACATATGCCTAAAATACAAAGTGATAAAACATGAACTGATTTAGAGACCACCCTGCTTCAAGTGGGTGTAAAATTATTTCAATACCAGAATCAACAGTTAAGCACTCAGTTTTTGTCTCAGTTTTGATCTCTTAAATCATGGTTTCAGCTAGTTTCAGAAAGTGTTGTTCTTAGGTTCAGGTATAATTAACATGATATATGTGTTAGACCCTAGAGGGGGGTGATTAGAGTATTATGCTAATCTAATCTGATTTTATACCAATTAAAATTAATTAACATGTTATCCTAGCAAGTTTGAAATACAACAATATATATGAGCTAGGATAAGCAAAATGAACAAAGAGATATATCCTAGCAATGAGATATACTATGAGATATATGCAAGGATATATAATTAACACAAGGGAAAATAATCTAAACTAGATAGTGGACAATATAACCAACAAGCAATATACAAAGGCGATATAGGATATGGACATAAAATTAAGTGCGCCAATGCAATCACAAATAAATGATATGATTACGGAGTTCGGTCTAACCACTTGACCTATGTCTCCGCTCCTCACCTCGAGGAGAACTCCACTATCACAATTGGGTTTTCTATGTTTACCTGAATAACGTTTACAACACACAATACGGTTTTCTAGTTTACCGAAAACTCTACAACTAACACACTCTTGTAAACCCATTCTACACTCTCTCAAGTGTTGAACTAGACGTGTCTTCCTTAAGTACTCGGATACAACCTCTCCCTAGGTTCATCAACCGACGCCACTCCTCTTGGGTGTAAAATTTGTTCAATACTAGTGTATTACAAAGTGATCTCACAATTAAGCACAATACAAAGAATGATTATTCTCTAATATGGATGAGAACACAATAAAAGCTCACACTCAATTGTTACAACTCTCACCAACCCAAATATACTATGTATGAAAATACAATAAGCTCATGTGGGTGTGTGTAAACAATGAGTGAAATAAAATCTAACTCAAATAGCAAACTAGCAATAATAAGAATATGAAAATCAATAATAAAATTGCTAGAGAAAAGAGTTAGAAAAACTTCTCTATAAACACAAGAGAGGATGAGAATATATTGAAGATGAACTCCTCAACAGATGATGCAAGCTCCTCTTTGTAAAAGCAAACCC